CCATCTCTATATGCATAAGTGATTGTAATTTTTATTGTTGCTTTTGTTTCTGCAAAAATGTATCATCCGACATTCTATTTGTGACCTTTGCATGTTCCCTTAATGCTTACAATGAATATCTTCCCCTGTCTGTGTTTGTAGATCAACATTCAGACTCTTAGGGAATGCAATATTATACTACATGAATGTGCTATAATTTATTTCACTTGCTTCCTATTGCTATATATTTAGATTGTTTCCTATTATTGTAAATAATTTTGTATAATCTTCCTTGTATCTTTGGGTACCTTTTCAACAATCTTCTAATTTTAAAAAATGGTACACAGAACTTCGTTACATCTTTTTGAAAGAGACATTTTGGCATAACTGAAAAAAAGAAAAAGAAAACCTTCAACCCTTAAAAGTATCAAGTATGTCAAGGTAATTCAAGGATAGTCTTCAGCCAGTGGCACTGGAAAAAACTGGGTATCCATGTGCAAATAAATGCAACCTCAACCTTGACCTTATACTATAAAATCTTTATCTCAAAATAAATCCTAGATGTAAGAGCTAAAACAACATAAAATTCTTTAAGAAAGCATGATGGAAAATATGACTTTGGCATAAGCAAATTCTTAGAACACAAATACTTCAAACCATTAAAAAAAAACTGATAAACTGAACTTCATGAAAATTTTAAATTTCTGCTCTTTGAAAGACTGTTAAGAAAATGAAAAGATGAGTCACAGACTGGAAAAAATAACTGCAGAACATATGTCTGCTAAAACACATCAATAACATGAAAAGAACTCTTACTATATAATAAGACAAACAATGATAAAAATAAACAGGCAAAAGATTTAAGAGACAGTTCACCAATAGAAGATGTGCAAATGGCCTAAGAGCACCTGAAATGATGCTCAACATCACGCTCATCAGGGAAATGAAAATAACACAAGAGACTACTCAAACCCACTAGGATGTCTGAAATAAGGAAGAGTAACCACATAAAGTATTGGTGAGATGGGGAACTAGAACCCTCATCCTTTGCTGTTGGGAGTGTAAAATGATTCAGCCACTTTGGAAAACAGATGGACAGTTTCATCAACAGTTAAACATACACTTATTATACAAATGACATTCTTATGCCTAGGTATTTATTCTCATGAAAGGAACATACAGATCTATGCAAAACCTTTTACATGAATGTTCTTAGCAGCATTATTCATAATAGTCAAAAAGTGGAAACCATTCAACTGGGGAATGGATAAACAAATTGGGTTACGATGGAACACCACTCAAGAATAAAAAGGAATGAACTACTGATCCCTGCAACAACATGGGTGAATCTCAAAAGAATTATGCTAAAAGAAAAAAAGACATAAAGTCTATGTGTCAGATGATGTCATTCATGTGGAATTCTAGAAAAGGTGGAAGTATTGAGATAGAAAGTTGGATAATCATTGGAAAGGATGAGGGTACTTGGTGACTTCCTGTGAACAGATCTCTCCCTTGGTGATTCTGGATACCTCAGATTAAGAAAGGGGAAAGAGGGAAGAGCAGAGGTCAGTTAACATTGCCTCCTACCTCTCATGAGACCAAAGCTGTGTTTCTACTCATTTTCCGCAGTGGGTTCTGATCTGAGTGACGGTGGGCTCAAAGACACCTGTCATAGCTTTGTGCCTGGGCTAATGGAGAAAGCTGGATGACTCTCTGAACTCAGCAGAGGGATTCTCAAAAAGCACTTACAACAAATGCATATACTGCCTTAAGGCCCAATAATAGGATCTATTGGCCAATTAATTTCGTTGTAGTCATAAACAAGTGGTCTGAAAATTCCAAAGAGAAACATTGCTTCTTATTTCCTCAAACCTCCCTCCATCAATTTTATCACAAACAAGATGCTCTTTGCTAGGTGGACAAGTGCTGACTCTCAGTGAGACACAGGAAAAGTCAGCCTGCACACTTCCCCATCCAAGACAATGTGTGCTGGAGAGGACAGAAGTGATGCAGCGATTGAAATGAGGTGGGTCAGGTGTTGATCACTATTGAGCTGGGTGGTAAGTATTAATTCGAACATCTCTTCCACATGGAGGATGCCTGAACTTTGAGCTGAAACTTCTCCAGCCATCAACAAAGGGAGGAACTGGATGTTGCACTAGTCACTGGGCCTTCACCGAAACCTCAACTTCCAGGCCTAAATTTCCCATCGGAGCTGAACACTGTCTCCTCTCCAGTTCCCTCCAGTATTCTAATCTCCTGAAACTAACATCTCAAACTGAGGTCTCCCTCCTCCTCTCTGAAAAATGTCTCATTAGTGATTACCTCTTGTTTCTAGTTCTCTGTAGAGATTATAGTTCTGCCAAAAAGCTAAACTGAGCCCTTTAACCTTCCATAGTATTACTGGAGAAGGCCCCCTAATGGTTTCCTTAGTTCCAGTATCTGTTGCTTCCATTGTATCCTCGCCCCTGTGTCAAATTAGCCATTCCCAAGACAGTTCACCCATGCCACCCTGCCACTCAGAGACCTTCCATAATTCCCCATTGCTTACTGGGTCACATCTAAAACTTTCAGCCTGTTAGCCATCACTGACCTCAATATATCAGGTTGGCTAAAATGTTCATTCAGGTTTTTCTACAATGTCTTACATCAACTCAATATTTTTAAAACCTCCTCTACCCTCCACTTCTCTACACAAAATGCCAACTCTAGACAAATTTATTTACTCATTCCAGTTCAAATACAGTTTGCTCCTTCCACTCATCTTGCTTTTTTTGTAGGCTGCTTCCCCCACCAAAACTGGCTTCCAAAACCAATCCTGGAAAGTCAGTTCCCCCTTCCTTAGTGATGAGGTTCTTCATCCTCCAGTCTGAATTGATTGAACCTTCCTAAAAAATCTCCCATATTATTCTTCATATGCTCCAATTGGCAATAAACCACTTACTGACTACTCATCTCTCAATAATTATTGGTTTCTATTGTTAAGTGCTTTATTGTTATTTAAGTTTTCATTTGTGTAAATCTTGTATCTTCAACTTGGTTGTTTACCTCTTCTTTGAAAGGGGGCAAGTTTATCCTCTTTATATCTCACAAGATATTTAAGAAGATTTTACACATGATAGAAGCTCAGTAAATGTTTGTTGATTGAATTTGTTAACTAGATGAGTAAAAAGTGGTTACTTCTAACATTTAAGACCATTTTAGTTCATCCCATCATATTCTTTCAGTTAACATGTCTTCAGGGTTGGCCCCAGAGTTTTGAGAAAAGGTCTCCAAAATATTTGTGCATCTTGTCATGATTTGTACCCTATGTCCTTCTTCCTGGCCTCATGTACCACTGTATGTGGCAGATTGGGCGTTTTACTCTGCCAGTAATGAACTGAGTATGATTTCTAAACATTGAGAGTAGAGAGCTAGATGACTTCTGCTTCAGTTGTGTAAAAATAAGAATTTTCTGTGACCCATCCCACATAGATATCCATGGACAAAGGAGCCTGGCTGGCTACAGTCCACAGGGTCACAAAGAGTTGGGCACAATTGAAATGACTTGGCATATATATGCACAAAGAGATTACCCAACAAAACTTCAAAAACACAAAAGTAAACCTAGTTACCCACTGTTATTCTCATCTAGTATTATTTTAGATCCTTTGAAAAGAGATTATTGTCACGTGCTCATTGACCTACTTAGTAGAAGCCAAATGTCTGTAAGCTGTGAAGTACAGCCAACTAGTTACTGTTTCCCAGCTTCAGGGGTTTCCAGACTAATGGCTGGTGGTCACCTGCTGATCAGTCATCTCAGCCTCCAACTTACATCCAGCCCATTTACCTAAACCCACTTGAAAGAGATTGTTTATTTGGTCCAAATCACCAAATACCAATCAGTCTCACATAGTGGTCACTGTTCATTTGTAGCAGCTGCCCAGAGTACAGTAATGGGAAGAATTCTGCCTCTATCTCCAGGCTCAACAAGAAGGACCCATTAATAACATCTTGACATCTGCCATGGACACACACGTGTCAGCCTTAGCAAAACGTCAGACATCGAGTTTCTTGGTGGCAAAGACTCTGCTGTGCGCACCTCCGTGCCTCGCTTCCTCCCCTCTCCTCTCCTCTCCTTACACCCAGACTCAGTCCAGTGTCTGCCACGAAGTCAGCACCATTTGAGAAGGCGTGGCTGCTTAGGGGTATCTGTGCCTCTGATGGATGCGCGTGCCCTTTGTCACACTCAGTTTCCACTTTCCCTGCCTATGGAAACAGTCCCCGTTTTCATTTGGAAATTCATTCACCTCCTATTTTCAGTCCACGTGGTTACAGGAGAGATGATTCTACCCAAAGCTCATTGTGACATGTGACCCAGGCCACCCAAAGAAATCACTGCATTCCTCACTAACTGGCTTAGGATGAGCATGTGAGCCTATCAGGGCCAATGAGATACTTGGAGATTTTTTCTGAGGTGTCTGTCAGGGGGATAGTCACTCTTCTTGCTTATCAAATTCGAAGCTCACTCCAAGCAATTACACAAATTGAGTGTTTTAAATTAACAGAAAGATGAAGTCAAAATGTGATGACGACAGTAGTAGTCATGATTACATCATCAGAGCCTCAAAGTCCATCATTCCTGAAGGCCTAACTGCTTCTCATCAAGAGATTCCGTCTCCTGCTTGAGCCTTTTTGAGTTTTCTGTTACTTGTAACTGACACAGCACTTCTGAGATAAATGTTTCCAAGGGCTTTCTTTGACTCTTAACAACTGCCAAAATGAAAATGATATCCAGTGGAAAGTCTGAGAAAGGACAGGTTGGGTTGTACGTATGCACACTGATGTTAGAAAGGATCTTACTCTGCCAATAAAAAAAAAACCAGCTATTCAAAAGCAAAAGGTTTGGGGATTGATTGCTAGTTGGCTGGCTGCTAGTTTTGTCCTATGCCCTTGCTTCCTTGTGTAAGTCCTGATGATTGAGAATGGGCTATTTGTGTCTGAGGAATGGAAAAACCTAAACAAACTGTTTGGCCAACTCAATACTTCGTAAGTGCTTTACCAGCAGTTTCATCAGGTCGGTAAGGGAAGATTGGTGTCTGAATCACTGTCCGAACAGTGTTGGAGCTGATGATCTCCAAAGCCAGAGGAGAGGCCATCTCTGGAAGCAGTAGGAATGGGGCAGGCATCGAGGGGTAAAGTTGCCAGCTGGAGGCAGTCTCAAGGCTCGGAGCACAGTCCCCGGGCCTCACACACCTTGAATGCTTTCCGCGGGGGATGAGGGGCTAGGGGGAGGGACTGTAGTCTGCTGACTCAGGAAGGTAGCTCTCAGGAGGAAGGTTCTTGATAAAAGCATCTACCCTGGCTGGGCTTTGGAAGCATCCTTGCATCACTTGAGTACTGGATGGTGTCAGAACATTGCCCAGAGAGCTGTTCCTGTTGCTTAGTGAGTATCTTTGACATTACCAATCTTGAATATCTGGAAGAAAAAGTAGAGTCTTAGCCACAATCTGAGTCTTTTCATCTTATGTTGATATTTTTCATAACTAAAAATAGCAGCTTCCTCCCTCTCTGAGATTGGTCTCAGAGGACGTCTTGAACATCAATGCTGAAATAATTATTTCAGCTCCAGGAAAATGAGTCTGTTGTGTCTCAACAAAATTGCTGTCTGAGGTGAAATTATCTTTGGCTACAACGCCACTATGAAAGTCTGCAGGAACGGGTCACATGAGCATCCACAAAGAGAAGAGTCAGAAAAGATTTCTTTACTTCTCTTTTTTCCCCTCCCTTTTAGCTCTGAGATATGAATGGAACGTGCTTAAAAGTCTAAGTGATGAGGCCTGTTCTGCTTAGTCCTTGTTCTTCAGGACAAGTTCAAAGATAGCAAAAGCCAGCCTCTGAGGCTAGGAGAAAATATGGCTTCCTATTAGTTGCTAAAAGGTTTTAAAGTCAGAGGGCCTCGACAAAATTCAATGGTGAGAACTAAGAGGAAAAGTTTGATTGTTCCCTGACATTGGAAGATATGGTTTTTTGTTTTTTTCTGCAGGCAAGTCAAATTCACACAGCTGGGCCTTGAGAACAATTAGACACACCTAGAAGATCAGACCGGGATGCCAAGAAAATGTCCCCAGGAGAGAGAAACAGTAAACATTCTGACATCATATGCACTGATTGGCTTTTTATATTCTGAGGTCTTTTCAGAGAGATTTTACTCAGATAAAAATGCGAGCCTCTGAACCAGATGCCTCCATGTTTTCTCTGTGCTGCTGGCCTGAGCAGCTGGCAAAACATGATCTAAGACTGATAAACTGTCCTGACAAAAGCACTTCAGAGGGCTATGCAGGCCAGGGTCTGAAAGATGTCTGAATTTTTAAAAGGTACTAACTGCTCAGAGGATGAAACAATTCTTCTGAAATCTAAGCCAGTACCTTAACAGAGCCCAGAAGGACACTGAGAGGATCTCTGAGAGAAAACCTACTTGCTTTCCTGACTCAAAGGAGAAGTCTGCCCCGTAAGGAGAGGGTGACGTGGGCGAATACACTGCCCTGGACTTCTCAGGCTCTGATGAAACCTTCAAGAACTGGAAGAAAGACTTGACTTTAGCAACTGAGCAAGAGACAAAAGAGCAAAAATCTATCACTGAGGAATGACTGGCAAGGAGGTTGGTGGTCTTTGTGTCAGCTTTGATGTCTGTGGCTCGATCCTCCAAACAGCTGTTGCAGAGGCCCATTGGGAAGACCTCCAAGGACTGCGCCCAGGGGCTGGGGGTGAATGAATGACCCGTCTGCACCTCTGACTTTCCAGAGAGAATGGGGATGCCCAGCTGTGCCTGGTCTGCCCCTCCGACACCTGCAGAATGGATTTCATATCAGCAATCAACAGTTTATTCTTATCAAACCTACAGAAGCCTACATCACTGGGCAGTGAAACCAAGGAAAGACATCAATGCCCCGATGCCATCTGAACCAGTCAAGGCCGAGGTCTTGGGTGCCCACCACCATGTTTTATCTGCCATAGTGACACCACGTCAGGGGTCTCAAAAGTTTGTCTTCTCCAGTGATCACTTCTCATCCCTATGTTTTATATAAAGTACTGGAAGCCAGAAGATGAGTGAACCTCTCCAAACTCAATGCAGAAAAATATGTTGGAGTGGGATCCTCAGCTCTTGATCCTCATTGCCAATGGCATTTGTGATAAGAACAGATGAACCAAATCGGAAAAGGATAGCTTCAGGACAGCTATTCTATGTCCCAAATGAACAATTAACATATTACTGCTGTCTGAAAAAATGTTATCTAGACAAATAACAACATTAAAAAAAATCCCAAGCTTATTCAGTATGCACACATCAATTTCTGGTGATGTCTCCAGGAATTAATTGAGTAGAAAATATTATGCAGAAATGGGGGTAATAGAGAGTAATGGTTTTTACAAAACACAGCAGTGAGCCCAGCGTCCTATTACCCTCCCCTCCGACCCCTTATTCTCTGCCGCTGCTCTTCTCTGAGACAGCAATGAACAACCAAGGGAGCCGCTGAGATAACTAAATGGAGGATGAATCACGGCTGTGTGGCCCGCAGCTCCACCTGCGATCAGGAGGGAGCCGCTCTCAGACGGTAAGGGCCTCGTTACTGATGCTATGGAGGTGGCAGCATGCCTTCTCTAAAAGATAAACTGGTGCAATCCACACTTCACAGGGTAAATTAAATTCCTTTGAGCTTATTTACCAACTTAAAGATGGCTATACTTTTGCTGAGCAGAAGTTTTAGAATGAGATTACTCTAATGCCTCATCCCTGGGTCTCACTAATAAAGCACAAGAGCGGTGACCAGGCCCAGGGTGTCTGTAAATGACACGCTCTCTCCTGCCTTCAGAATATGCAGGAATTCAGTCTGCTAGTTGACTGGAGTTTTAGGTAGAGGATTTTGGCTAACCTATTGTTTGAAGTGAAGTGAAGTGAAGTGAAAGCCACTCAGTCATGTCCGATTCTTTGCCACCCCATGGACTATACAGTCTATGGAATTCTCCAGGCCAGAATACTGGAGTGGGCAGCCTTTCCCTTCTCCAGGGGATCTTCCCAACCCAGGGATCAAACCCAGGTCTCCCGCATTGCAGGCGGATTCTTTACCAGCTAAGGCACATATGCACAAGGCTCTGTGCTCAGGTGATACATATGCATTATCTCATTTAAAGGCAATCACAGGTGGTGGGGCAGAGGCTCAAGAGGGAGGGGGTATGTGTGTACTTAGAGCCAATTCTCTTCATTGTACAGCAGAAACTAACACTGTAAAGCAACTATACCCCAATTTAAAGAAAAAAACAAAAAGAAAATCATTGTCTGTTAAGATATATGGTATCTATAAACAAAATAATACTCCAAAAAATTAAATTTCTTCCCTAGATCAAGTTAAATGGTAAATGACTGAAAAGTTGGAAGCTCAATATGTATCCTTTCACTCTCCAAGAGCCACGTCCCCAAGACTAGAACTTTGCCAGGGAGGGGGACAAGAACCAGGAAGGAGACCCCTCTGTGCGCAGGGTCCGTAGCAGCAGCAGCCAGTCTGCAGAATCCCCAGGTCTTCAGAAGGTGAACGAGCCAGCGTTTGCGCAGCTCATCAATGGAGTGCCTGCCAGTCCTCCTGGTCACTGAGAACTGAGGGACAGCACGGTGTCCTCCTCTTCAGTGAAAATCTGCAACCGAACCTCAAGGCGTAACTGGCTAGTTGCTATTGCTGTTGTTTAGTTATGAAGTCCTGTCCAACTCTTTGCGATCCCGTGGACTGTAGTCCACCAGGCTCCTCTATCCATGGGATTTCCCAGGCAAGAATACTGGAGCAGGTTGCCATTTCCTTCTCTAGATGAGCTTCCTGACACAGGGATCAAAACCACGTTTCCTGCACTGGCAGGCATGTTCTTCACCATTGAGCCACCAGGGGAGCCCATAACTGCCTAGTAGGCATAGCCAAAACAAGTGTCTAGAGCTTGCTAAAACAAAAAAACATTCCAGTGGTATGTGAACCTCCTAGAGTTATCAGCTCCCTGGTACCCTGGGCCAACCTTCTTACTTGCCCTCTTGGTAATTTTCCCACATGTTAGAAAGTTCTTGGTACAGTATAGCTACATTCAGACAGAATATAATCATAAACGAACACACATTTTTGAAATGTAAATCCACACACTTGTGAGTTTATATGCTCTGAAAGTGCAGAAGATTAAAATTATGTGATTCAATAGAACCGTACTGAAGATGACTGGTTCTCAAAGTAAAGACAAGCTGATGTCACCGCTGTCTCTGTGCCACCTGTATTTCTTTCATTATATCAAATCAACACTGACCACAGTGGTGAGAATAATATGACGACATAATTACGTATCCAAAGTTGTATCAGGCTGGGATCTGTTCAGCTTTTCTCCAAATCCTCGTCTCTCAATTTTGTTGGGCATGTGGTCCACGAGAAATCCCTGCTCTTTGAAGAACAGGTGTAGAGACAGCCAAGATCAGGGATCACCAAGTCACAAGGGGCACCTCTCAGATTTTCTCACCAAAATCTCCCAAGGACAGGTTGAGTCACACATCACCCAGAGGTCCAGCCCAAAGGCCTTCAGCAGGTGAATAGCTTCCTCAGTCTAAAGTTTCACCTGAAAGCTTGTGGAACTCTCCCACTTTGCTGTAATAAGTCCACATATTTTAACATAGAGATAATATTTTATCACTTATGTACTTAGAACTGATAGCATTATTGACTCAACAGACATGAGCCTGAGCAAACTATGGGAGATGGTGAAGGACAGGGAAGCCTGGTGTGCTGCAGTCCATGGGCTCGCGAAGAGTCAGACACAGCAACAACAACAACTTGAACTGAAGCTTCAGGAAGATGTATCGTATCCATCCAGTATTTCAGGTGCCAGCTTGCATTCTCAGGGTGCAAACAAGGAATCCAATCTCCTTGATTCTTAAATGCAGGGCAAAGGGGAGGGGCGAGGAGTAATGGAAAAAGAGAAGCTGTCTGGCCAAATGGAGGGCAGAGTTAAATTTATTAGAGACCAAGAAGGAGAACAAACCCCAGCCAGCCCTCCTTCAAACAAGACTGTGCAAGTGAGCGCGAGCTTTGTGTCCCAGCTGTGCTGGCAACACCGCCACCACCCTGCAGAAAGGCGTGATTGTCGTAGGGTTGCTCAAGGACTGATTTCCCCAGCAGCGCTCCTGGTTTGTAGCAAGAAGTCTGAGTCATCCAGATGCTTCTGCACTGACCCAGCCTGGAAACCCCCAGAGAGCTTTGCCGTCCTCCTCTGCTTCCCAGCACTGTGGTTCCCTGGGGCTGCGTCTCAGCTGACCCAGCTCAACAGTCCAGGTCTTCCCCCGACTGGGCCCCCCGGATGGAGTGGGCACCAGAGTATGCAAGCCTGGCTGTCTGAGGGCTGTTGTCACCACCTTACCTGGCCACCTGTGTCCGCTTGCGAGGACAGTTGCCATGGCACCCTGCCCGTGGGCTGTGCACATTGAGTGAGGTGGTGCTGGCTCAACAGGGTCCCTCACAGGCCCGAGGGCGTGTAGAGTGGAGAAAAGTGAAAAAAGGGACAGTGAAGTCGCTCAGACATGTCCGACTCTTTGCGACCCCATGGACTATAGCCTACCACGCTCCTCCGTCCGTGGGATTTTCCAGGCAACAGTACTGGAGTGGGTTGCCATTGCCTTCTCCAGAGGATCTTCCTGACCCAGGGATCGAACCTGGGTCTCCCGCATTGTAGGCAGACACTTTACCGTCTGAGCCACCAGGGAACTAGAGTGATGATCTGAGGTGGATCCAGTGTAATAATACTAGAAATAAAGTGCACAATAAATGTAACGTCCTCGAAACATTCTGAAACCATCACCCTCCCCTGAGTCCATGGAGAAATTGTCTTTCAAGAAACCACTCTCTGGTTCAAAAAAGGTTGGAGACCACTGCGCTGGAGTATTCTTGGCCTTTTTGACATCATCTTACCTACAAACCTTGTCTTCTTCCCCTTGGTCTTGAAGAGAAATTGCTGGGAGAAAGTTGTCCCTAGATGCCCTGGCCAAAGACCTGTCTTTCTGCTACTCTTCCGTCATCAAGGAGTCCAGCATTTGGCATCCATCCTCAGCTTTCCGTGGTCCTTGGGGGGCCTGAAGATCCACTGAGCACTTGGAATACTATTTAAGTGGTCTACAGCAGTTCTTCAGACATCAATTCCTTGCTGGAAAATACACACACATTTTCTTTAAAACAAGCAAACCTATTTACGTAAATGAAATCTCAGAAAAAATTAAAAATTTTCATGGCTATAACTTTTCTTCCCTGGATGCTACTGTGTGACCAACTTGGACAAGTCGGAATCACTCTCAAGATATAAATATTAAGTACCTACATAAGAGAGGAATGATAGATGCTCTGGCCTGGTTTCCAAACCTTGGGCTGCAGAGTTTCTGTAGATGAAGAGGGACATTGTTTCTAATAAGTGTCACTGATTGAACCACTTGGGACAATATAAAATATTGTTCTGTGATGGGCTTTCTGTTGTCTTTTTGCTTTTTTCTTTCCTTTTTGCAATGCCAATTCAAGGGAGAGTGTGTTTGCATTGGGTGCGTAAGACAAATCCATTATGAATTGAAAACTAAATTCAAACTGCTATGTTGCAATAACTTATGAGTGTCACAAATAAGCTGATGCTCGAAAGTGGATACTAAAGTGTGGGAATGAGTTCCTTTACAAATTAGAGCCTACTCAACACTATCCATGGGGTCACAATGAGTCAGACGTGACTAAGTGACTAACATTTTCACTTTCTTTTTCCAAAGCTCTCACCCTTTCAAGAGTCACTCGTAAGCCCATGTAGTCCAAAATGCTTTCCCAAATGGCAGAGAGAATTATAGCTAGTGAAATAGCACATCCTTAATATCCAACCATGGGCCAATCCCTGCCAATTGAGATGGCTACTATTAAAAATAAATAAAAACAAAGAATTAAAGAAATAAGTGTTGGCAAGGATGTGGAGAAATTGGAATCCTTTGTGCTGTTGGAGGAAATGTAAATGGTACAACTGTTATGGAAAATAGAATGGAGATGCCTCAAAAGCTGAATGTAGAATTACCATATGATGCAATAATTTCACTCCTTGGTATATTCAAAAGAATAGAAAGCAGGGTCTTGAAGAGATATTTTGCACACTAAGTTAGTAGCAGCATTATTTACCATAGTCAAAGGGTAGAAGCTTACCCCTACTGTCCATTGGTAGACAGATGAATGGGTAAAGAAAATGTGGTATATACATACAATAGAATGTTATATTCAGCCTTAAAAAGGAAGGAAATTCTGACACCTACTACAACATGAATGAACCTTGGGGACATTATGCTAAGTGAAATAAGCCAATCACAAAAACAAATACTGTATGAGAATAGTTAAACTCAGAGAGATGGAAAGTAGAAGAGTGGTTGACAGGAACTGGTGAGAGAGAGACGGGGAGTTGTTTAATAGGTTTCAGATTTGCAAAATGAAAAGAATTCTGGAGATTACTTGCACACCAATGTGAATGTCCTCAATACTACTGAACTGAACACTCAAGAGATAGTTAAGATGATAAGTTGAATGTTATGAGCATTTCACCACAATTTTTTAAATTAAAAATTTTTTATGAGATCATGGAGTATGTTGCCCATGAAACATCACCCAGCACATGTGAAGGTGGAAAGCCATTTTTCAGTAATGGGAAGCTGAAGGGTCCTACTCAAACCATCACCCTCTCTCCTCCTCCTTCATTTTCATCATCTTCTTCAGTCTTGGTCCTTTTGCCACCAAGCCTATTATCTGCAAAATCTTGCTGATTTGCCCATTCTTTTCTGTCTCTGCTGCCTCTGTCCTCTCATACAACCTGCATCCTAACTCATCTACCTGACTCCAGTTTTCTCTTCCCTCCAATTCTTGCAGTGTACCACTTCCATTCAAGTATTTCTACAAGACCTCTTTGTGCATGTCACTAGCCTGCCCAGTAAAAATAATTTTGTGGTTGTTGAGTTGCTTAGTTGTAACTGACTCTTTTGCAACTCCATGGATTGTAGCCCTCCAGGCTCCTCTGTCCATGGGGTTTCCCAGGCAAGAATACTGGAGTGGGTTGCCATTTCTTTCTCTAGGGGATCTTCCCGACCCAGGGATTGAACCTGTGTCTCCTGCATTGAGGGCAGACTCTTTATCACTGAGCCACCTGGGAAGCCCTAATAATTACCCCTGAATTATTGCATCGTGCCTGACCTCAATGCTCTTTAGCACTAAACTACCACCCTTCTGGCAAACCTGGTTCTCTGTAGCTTTCTTACACAAGCTTTCACCTTTAGTCCAGCCAGGCGCTCCATCAGTCACCCTTCTGTGCCTCACACTAAATCTCCCCATCTTTAAATACAGTAGAACCCTGATTCTGAGAGCAGCCTGGAAGGTCCATGGCCTATGCATGTCTGTCATCCATCTGAACCCTGCACCCAGGGGAAGACATGTGAGCCACTCAGTTAGAAGGGAGCCTGTTTTCATCTGCATCTCAACACAGACCCGTGGTTCCCTGCTTGTCACTGCAGAGGCAAAAAATCCTTGTGTTTGGCTGTAGCTTATGAAAGAAATGAAATATCATCATGGAGTTGGTGAAACTGGGAGCTCACAAAAATCAAGGATCTATTAGATCTTCCTTCTCTTCTCAATAGGTTCATTCTTTCCTCCTTTAAGAAGCCTCCCCTGGTTACTCTGAGGCTTGGGGTTCTCTGCCCTTTCTCTGTTCTGGTGACAAGAGAAGAAACTCTGATCCCTAGACACTTGGCACAGGCTTATATTCTATCTGATATTATGCCTTAATTTACCCATTTGTATGATCCTTACTTGTCCAATGAGATGGATGGAAAGATTAGGTACCGTGACTTCTATGTCTCTTGATTTCATAACATCACTAAGTCCGAAACTAGAGAGATTACAGAACCCTAATATATCTAAAGAGTGTATCTGATGACTGTGGAAAGTGACGCCCTAGGCTGACCCTCCGAGAGCACAGGGGTCTCCCACGAGGCAGAGAGTGAGCCTTTATTGGCATGTACCACTCTAGGATCTTTCTTCTCAGTGTTGAGACATTCCTGACATGCGCTGGAATAATGCATCATTCTGGAATTCTATGTCAACGTGGAATCTTGGATGGGAAAATTCCAAGAAATTTACCTTCCTTTTTCATATCCTATTTTTCTCATTTCAAAGTGGAATTGATGGAGGTTCCCTGGCAGCCCAGGGATTAACTACCCTGTCAAATCCCTTCAACTTGCAAATATAAAGTGTTGCCTTGTTGCCCCATTATTCTGACATATAAAGTGAAAGTCAAATCTCCTGGTGGCTCTCACAGTCCATGGAGTTTTTGGCAACATTGAGGTACCTCTGCCCAGGAAAGGACCTCTGAGAAATAGACAACAGATTGTCTAGCAGCCTAAGAGAATTTTAATATGCATTGTCCTAAAGTCCTGACAGAGCCATGACTAGTCAGAAACCTGTCGGATAAGACTACACCCTGGCAGGGCTACCCTCGATGGCTCCCAATTCCTTGGAGGCCTTCCCGAACAGTCAGGGTTGGCTTCTATTGAAGACACATAGGGGAATGAGAAACAATCAGAAACACTCCTTCCAGCCCTGGCACAATAACCCTTTGTTTTGCATACTCTTTATGCAAGAACATGGCAATTATTTTCTGAGCCAACTTGTTTGAGCAATAGTGCAGTGGGGTGAAATGCAGAGATATAATTAGAATATCAAGGCTAATGAAACTAATAGTTTCAAATTAAGCCCATATATGACTGCAGCACCACATAACTGCCTTCTCTTTTTTGCTCTCTCAGGGAAACTCTCCAGATGTATTGGGGGAAAAAATTAGCTGTCTTTTCTAAGAATTAAAAAGGCAACAGGCCCAATGCATAGAACACCCTTCAAGATTTTGAAGTGAGCCAAAGGAAGCTGTTATGGCCCCAGGGCACCCTCTCACAGGTGGAAGATAGCCCAGATGCAAAGCAGTAGAGTCTAGCTGGCCCTCTAGGGATGGAGAGGACCCAGACCCCTTCTTCTTCTCCTGTTCCAACCACCCTCTCCCCTTTGTAATAGATGCATCACTAAGGAAAACATGGTAGCATTCGTGCTTCTGTGGAACTAAGTGATGGCGCAAAAGAAAAAGGAATGGGTTCAGCTTACAGTTTGAAATCAGAAGTATGATTTGGGGAAATATTCCTAAAGAGCCCATGACTTGAAGAAATCATTAGATGGCTAGAATAATATGCAAGATGGTTGTTACAAGTCACTTAACTGCAGTCTTGGTTTGATAAGATTCTCACAAGTTCTCTTAAGTTGACGGGTTCTGGTCAGAGGGTAAAGTTTCCAGGTGAGAAGAATTTGGCATTTTAGACTTGACCACAACTTGGAGTTTGCCCTGTAATCTGAGGATCTGGCTCCAGGAGCAGAGCCGAGAGAAGTCCTAGATGTCTTTCATGACAACTTTTATTGAACACAGCTTTGTCCTCGCCCGTGCTGAACCACCACGCATGGGCTGTTGACTTCAGCTGTCTGTGGAGAAATTATACCAACCACATGCTTCAGCAGAAGGACTGCAACATACTGCTTGTTTTGTATTTGAAAAGCCAAGCCATGTGGAAGACACCAAGCCTGTTCAGTCACCTCCCATGAGGACACATGCAGCTGCTTCCAAGCGACCTTACACCAATCACTTCTCAACCTAGAGTCAGATGATGTTCCAAATAATAAGACATTAACTTGAATCTTAGAGTTGAATGCTACCAAGTGGGTCACCTCAGGATTCAAGAAGAAGGGGACTGTTTATCGAAATGGCTTAGGTTTGCAATCTGAAGTCTTGATAGATTTTTTTTTTCCTGCAATGTAGTTACTTTATTTGTAAAAGTGGGCTTCCCTGGTAGGTCAGCTGGTAAAGAATCCGCCTGCAATGTGGGAGACCTGGGTTCGATCCCTGGGTTGGGAAGATCCCCTGAAGAAGGGAACAGCTGCCCACTCCAGTATTCTGGCTTGGAGGATTCCATGGGGTCACAAAGAATTGGACAAGACTGAGAGACTTTCACTTCACTTCTATTTGTAAAAGTGGAGTCCTTAGTAGAGATAAACTTATTCTCAGCAGTGATGTTTCTTTTGCTTCACAGTATTCCCTCCCCCGGGCTTTCTAGGTGGCACTAGTGGTAAAGAATATGCCTGCCAATGCAAGAGATCTAAGAGATGTGGGTTCGTTCCCTGGTCAGCAAGATTCCCTGTAGAAGGGCATAACAACCCATTCAAGTAGTCTTGCCTGGAGAATCCCATGGATAGAGGAGCTTGGTGGGCTACAGTGCATGGGGTCGCAGAGTCAGACATGACTGAAGTGACTGGGCATGCATGCACATTCCCTCCACAATATGTTTTACAAACTCTTGTCCACCGTTGAAGTGAAGCATTAGTCGCTCAGTCGTGTCTGACTCTTGCATCCCCATTGACTGTAGCCCACGAGGCTCCTCCTTGTCCATGAGATTCTCCAAGCAAGAATACTGAAAGGGGTTGCCATTTCCTTCTCTGGGGGATCTTCCAGACCCAGGGATAGAAGCTGGGTCTCCTGCATTGCAGGAGGACTCTCTCACCAGGGAGGCTTCGTCCATGGCTGGTGCCCAATAAGTATTTCCTGAAAAAAGCCAATGGATGAAGAAGGCCAGCTGAGAAGGTGTCACAGGTCTGCCACAAGAAGGGGGTAAAGGATGGAAAATCATCTCTAACTGTTGGCCCTCTTCAGGAATTGCCTTGGCTGAAGAAAACTGCCTCTCCCGAGGTCACACCTCTTCACCTAGTGATGGACTGACAGGGGCATACAGAGGGTTAGACCCATGTCCCAGCCATGAAGGGCCATCCCAGATCCAGTGCATCCCATGGAGTGAGTTAGCAGAGACCTTCACTGGGATGCCATCAGCTCTCCATAACCCCCTCTTCCCTGGGTTGGTTCTTTCTCTTCTCTTCCACAGGCGCCTACCCCAAGAGTGCTCCCTTACAGACTTCCTTCATGTTCATCTCTGCCCAAGGTCCCTGTATTAGTTTTCTAGAGCTACTGTAATAAAAGACCACAGCCTGAGCACCTTAAAAAACAGAAATTTATTTTCTCGATTCTAGAGGCTAGACATTCCAGAATCAAGGTGATGGCAAGGTTGGTTCCTTCTGAGGGTTGTGAGGGAAGGAGCTGTTCCATGCTTCCCTCTATGACTTGCAGATGCCCATTTCACGTTCATATGACATTCTTCCTGTGTGTGGGTCTGTCTCCAAATTGCCCGTTTTCACAAGGACAGTCATCTTGGTTTAGGGCCCACCCTAGTGGCCCCATTTTCTCTTGATAACTTCTGCAAAGACCCCATCTGCAGATAAGGTTGCATTCTAGGGGCCTGAGCATTAAGACTTAAACATATAAATGGAGGAGGAGACACAATTTAGTACCTAACAGCACACAAGCTGAAACTGTATTCAACTATGTTTTCCGCCAAGAGGTCAATGAACATGGGCCTGACAGCTTCCTGAGCCTTCTCGAAGATTCAAGTCCAGTCATATCAAGTTGCCTTTTTTTTTTTTAAAGGGTCTGCCCATTCAGAAAGCTGAAAGAAAGAGAGATGCTCAGTCAGGTTACGTCCAGATTCTCCAACACAGGTTGGCAAGATTTAAATCATGAAGGGCAGAGTCTGGTTCCCAGGCTGGAGGGAAACCTGAAATGGGGAGTGGATTGGGAAATCTGCATTTACGAGGGAGCTCTTTCTGACACATAGCTGGGTGATGAGAAGTGTGGCTGATAGACTAACCTCTGGAAGAGTGTCTGGGAACTTAACATAATTAGCATTTTATGTCCTTTGTTCTCAAAATTAATAACTGTTATGACATGAGAGGAGGGAGGTGCGGGCAAATTGATGATGGATTTTTCACTAGAGAGAGATAGTTTTTTTTTTAATTTGTTTATTGGTAGAGTTATAACGGCATCACTGAGATTTTTCTCCACACATGTATTGATAGCTTCAAGCTGGAAAGGAAAGGTGCATTGTTGTGGAAGGCACTGCTGCCATGAAAAGTCTTGAGCACCAACATTATGCGAGTGGAGGTAGGGCAGCAGGAAATGCAGGTTAGAGAAATTCATACATAAACACTTAAAAGCCATTCGAAGCCAGCCTGCATGCTGGAACTCCAGGATACGCCTACTCAAGTTGGTGTCCCCAGCCGTATCTGGAGCCATCAAAACCGTGTTTGGATGGGGCGTGTGAAGGGGCACACACCGGCAGGGTTACAATCTGGCCCTGGGCCCTGGTTCCCAAGAACGCTCACCTCAGAAACATCAGAAAGCCGTGGAGGTCTGAGAATCAAGTGCACATGTGCTCGTGTGCCAAGAAAACCTAAGACGGAGATTTTCACAGCATATTGGGGTTTGGCCAAGTTCCAGAAACCATCAGCAAAGTAGCCTGCCCTGATACTTCAAAGGAAGAACTCTCCCTGATAAATCCTGCCCCACACTTCCCACAGCACACACTTAATCTTGAGGCATATAATACCACAACAATGAGTCACCAGCCTGGAGCTTTAGGCCTGTCCACAGAACAGGGAGGAAGAAAAAAAGTCTCTCACATCTGTTGTCTGGGGCAATTCCCCCCACTCCTCAGAACAGCACGAAAACAGACTAATAAAAACTGTCACAGGCAGTGAGTTATGGCCTGGTTTACCTGTACAGACCCCAGCACAGAACCGTAACAGACTCAGCCTACCATTTTTCATGACCCCGTTTTATCACATTTTGATAAAAACCCATCAGATAGGGGCTAATCTACTCAATTCCTCAGATTAAGCTCAGAGGTTTCTAGAGAACTTTCGGCCATGAGACAAACCGAGAGCTTTACCTCAACACACACTTAGCCTCACCTCAGGAGGTCTGAAACTTGCAAAGCCTGGGTCTCCTGAGTTGTACTTCATACAAATTAAAATCCAACTAATATTCACTAGAAGACCCAAGATAAATAATATCAAGCCTAGGTGTGGCGGAAGAGGAGCACGTAACAAGGGAA